TTGTCTTTTAATTGTGAAACTCAGAGGACCATGTTATAATGTAAATATTGCTAGAATGTTATTGTGTAAGGAGGATAAATCCTGCAAAATGACATATAAGGTCAAGGTCCTTATGGTAAGTTGCAGAACAAGTTTTTTCCACAAAGATATATGACCCAAGAGTGAGGTGGGTGGGCCATACATCCAAGTGGAAAAAGGAGGTTCTGTAACTTACAGTATGGACAGAGAAAATGAGGTTAGTAAGATATTTGTTATATTTTTGGGTTCAAATAGAGTGAGAAAGATTTCAATTCAAACAAACTTTTGAATTTAGCAGGCTGTGCATTAACAATTATACCCTGCTAAATTGAGCAATCATTGCATGCATAGTGTCTGAAAAATGTAATAATAAATGATAATCTGTATCAGTAAATATTTTATGGATTGGTGGACTTCCCAAATGTCTAGATGTGCAGTGTGATTGGTCATGATACATTAAACATTCCTGAAATATTCCAGGTGTCCATGGTTTGAAAGTGGCTTCTCTCTTTTTATTATCAGGATTTTAAGCTCTTGTTTCTAATACAATTTTGCTCTTCTTTTTAAGGGTATGGTGAAGAAAAAGGTGGTATTACATCCATGTTGCACAATTGTCACCCCACAGATCCCCTGCCAGTTGTTTACTTTGCTACCTTCCCGTGGTACCTCAGGATCTTTCTTCACACCTTAACCATCAAAAGTGCTGGCAAGGAAATCAAGCCTGGTAAAGATGCTTCCTACTCCCAATGTTCTATTATAATTGGTGGATCTTTTGATTGGCTGATACACTGGCTTTTTAATCCTTTGGTTGAATGACAAATTGACTTAATGACGAAGTTTTTGTCTCAGTTACTTCCTGATTTACCTTTCATTTTACCTGTATGGTATTTGACACTATTTTTAGCTTCCAAGCAGGCCTTCATTATTTGCGCTGCAAGGCGCGCGTTTTTCCGCTCGCGGGAAGACTTGATGCGAGTCGGAGAGAGGTTTTTAGGGGTGTGGCACCAATAATTATCACTGTTGGACCTGAAGCAGACGTCACGCCGGCTAATTTTTGTTAACCTACGTATTGCCGTACTCTCTCTCTCCCCCCCCCCCCCCCCCCTCCTCCCCCATGAAGAAACGGGAGAGAGAGAGGGTACGGTTACACGTAGGTTAACAAGAATTAGCCGGCGTGACGTTATCACTGCTGGACCTGAAGCAGACGTCACGCCGGCTAATTCTTGTTAACCTACGTGTAGCCGTACCCTCTCCCTTCCGTTTCTTCATGGGGGAGGAGGGGGGGGAGAGTACGGTTACACGTAGGCTAATTCTTGCATATCAAATTGCTAAAGTTGTAAATATGACTTCAAACTGAAACCAAAATTATGGTTGGTCTTTATGTAGATATCATCCACGTGACCCCAGCAAAGGATCGTTTGCGGCCTTATACTGTGGAAATGCTGCTGACTTTACCAGCAAACTCTGTTACAGAACTGAGCGTACAGTTCCATAAAGGATTCCTGAAATGGACAGAACATCCTCCAGATGCCCATCATGGGTTCTACATCAGGTAATGTTCACTATGCATCTGTTGCCGAGGAAAAGTGTATCCTTATTTAGGACTGTTCAAGGTCCAGTCCCTAAAAGTGAAAAGAATTATGTGGAAGATTTGTCAGGAACGTCGGACAAAGACGTAAATATTTGAACTGTTGTCAGTTTCGATTTTCTGTTAATACGCTGTAATCTACCAGCTGAGCTATCGAGAAATCGTTTTTAAGTTCGACTGTATGTGAAGTTCCTATGTAGGCAGCGTCCTACTCAAACTTATTGGACGAACGTCGGTCATGCGCGAGGGGATCAGTTCTTGCCGGCCGCGCCAATTTCGCGCGAAAATATTAAAAAAACGTAAGAAACAGCCCCTGTCTCGCAAAATAAACTGAAAAAATCGAAACTTTCATAGAAATCTGTAAAAGGAAACAAAAGTTGAGAAAAGGAAAACTCGAGACTGCGAACACAAGGCTATTTAAGCACAGGTATCCTGTTACTTTATCATTCTGTTCTGAGCTTTACCGAAAAAGCTATATGATTTTGAAACACCCTGACTTACTTACTTGGGTGGTTGTTTGAAACTCGTGTGAAACAAATTGGTTATGAAAGCGCACCACTTAGTTATTCATTGAAACGTTCGCACATGCGTAGACGTTTGACCGCTCTGTAGTCCTGCTCACTGCTAGGACCACCAAAATCGAAATCGCCATTAATGTTTACACATAGATTGAGTTTGTTGGTACATTTTAACTGACAACATACACAAATAAGATGTGCAGTTCTATTCTTTTGTGGTTTTTAAGAGTCATGAAAGAAGTTTTGCACGAGCGCGTGCGATTTTCTGATGAACCAGCAATAGTCTGAAATTCCCCAGATAATGGTGGCCTCGAATACAAAATCACCCTGTTGTCGACTTTCTTGAGGGTTTTTGATATACCAAACGCCCCTCACTTATTTTGCGTTTGTTTTGTTTCAGTTCTGCTGTGATCTCAACAAAACTTCAAGGCCCAAAAAATTACACTGGTCCAGCACGCCACACCTCTCTCCTGTTTGAAAGGTAACCTAAAATCATTCTCTCGTGAACCCTTCAGGGTTTAATTCTGTTTTTTCCTTTATTCATTTATCTGATTGTTTCTTTTGATGAACCATGTTCTAAATGAGTAGGAGACTGGGCTAGAATGTCTTTAACCCTTTAATCCCTAAGTGTAACAAGGTTCTAATTTCTCCTTACAATATCACCCCTGACTAAAAGGTTTAAGTCACGAGAATATAAGGAATAATCAGCAACTAACGAAGCTGTTGATGGTTTTACAAATTCTCCCTGTTAGAACCTTGGAAATGTATAGAGAACAGTATGGAGAATATGCATACTGATGTTAGGGTGTAAAGGGTTAATTGATTGGGTTGTGAACGATACCAAATGAGGAAGCCGGTTGGTAGAGTAGTTTTTCAGTTGAGTTAAAAAAAGACCATAGTAATCACAACAGCCAATGGGAGCGAAGTTCGACATCATTGTTAACCAATGACAACTCAAAGTAAAGTTAGGGAAACTGCATGAAAGGCAGGAAAACGCTAGTGACGAAATTTCGATCGGTTTGAAGAGCAAAGTTAAGCAAAACCAAAGCAGTCATGGATTACTTTCAACACAATTGAAAACTGCTCAAAAATTGATACAAACAAGATAGCCTAGTATCTGCGACTATACAAAACTTTATTGAATTACTACACCTTACTCGAAATTTGGGGATCTTACCAATGTTTGAATGATCTTCCTTGTTCAATCCCTCTGAAATAAATGTTGGAAACCTTGCTCGGTTGTAACAAGCCTGATTTCAAATTTGTTTTCCAGTGATGAAACTACTCCAGCGGAGGAAGTGTTTCTTCGTCTTCACACAGAAGTTTTACTGATCACCCTCCCCACCCCTGACTTCAGCATGCCATATAACGTCATCTGTTTGGCCTGCACTGTAGTAGCCATTGCATTTGGTTCTTTTCATAATCTATCTGTGCGGAGATTTGAGGCTGTTGACCCCAAGGAGAGCACTGGTCTTGTTGGCAAGTTGAAAGCTTTTCTCGCCAAGCTAAAGGGTAAAGTTTTTGGGAAGAAGAAGGAAGAAATTGCAGAAGAAAAGAAAGAAAATTAAAGTGAACGTTGTAGCGGCAGTAAAGGTGCCTCGCGAGTTCTGTCGCGCAGGAGTAAAGCGTTGAATATTCTAGTGGCCGAACCAATCAGAACTCAGAAAAATGAGCACGTTATATGTGGCACGAGCAGGAAAAAAAAGCGATGACGCTTTGAGTCAACTAATAATAATCACTGGTCTGTGATTGGCCAGTTAGATTGTTGAGCGCGTTGTGCGTGTTTGATCCCTACAGAACTTTACTCAAGCAGCTGTTTTGGTTGTCTTTGAAAATGAACAAAGAATGTTTGGAAAGATAAGCATCAAAAAAGACGAGGAAACTTTTTGTTTTGTGTAGAGTGAAATGATGAACGTTTCTTTAATAAAAAAAAACGTTTTGGAAGGAGAAGCCCCTTTTTTCCATGAAAAAAAAGAACGTTGTTCACGAGAAGTAGGGTGGAATTTAATTGTACACTACCTACTTTTTTTTTCTTAAACAGTGGACAGTGTAGGCATTAATGAGATTCATTGAAACAAAATGGATATGGAACATTGATAACGTCTTGGAAGTAGTTCGCTAGTTAGTGATAATCAGAAATTTACTTTAGTTTCTTCGTGCTTGCCTGTAAGGCAACAATCAGTGGTCACAAAATCATTTTACCTCTTTGTTTCAAATTAGTAGAATAAGTGACAGTGGAAAAACCAATGATCTTTTTTAAGACAGAGTGAAAACTTATGAGGTTACAGTACACCTGATAAAAAAAAAAACTGGAAAATGTGTGAGGTTGTGAGGCTAAAACTATTTGCAAGGGAAAAACTTGAAATTTTAAGATTATCAAGCTGTGACTAAGAGATAAGTATTGTTCCTGTGGTGATATCAGAAAAACAGCCACTTAATTAGCATATGATAACTTATCCGTCTAAATTGCTGTTGGTTCCCCTGATTAAAGGGAATTCTTCCAAATAAGTTTTCTGCATTTTAGTGTATGTAGTAAAATTCTTAAAATTATGCCCAGCAGAACCGCTGCATTAGGGAAGCGAGAAAATTCTGTGGCTCCTCGTCTTCAGTTACTTTGGCTCTGTTTGCCTAGAAGCATTATGTAAAGGAGCATTTCACACAGGCATATCTTAAATTACGTGCGAGTAACGTGTTGTAACCTGCGTGGAAGATGACAAGGAATTATTTTTTCAAGATTCCGCTTTAAATAAATTATAGCTACAGGCTATTCGTCAAATAATAGCTGTCACTTTTCCTTTTTATATCGCTAAGATGATTTTGTTACAACTGTCATGTTTGCGTCAGAGGCAAGACAGGTGAAGAAGGAGAATGTCCAGTAGGAACGATTCAATGTTAACGCTTCAACACCTCTTAATATATGCTTGATTCCCAAAGCTTTTCGTAAATGGATTAAACCAAAAATATATAAACCTTTAATACCTAATCCGTCGGAACTGGGGCCAAGTCATTCACCATGATATGCTTACAAAATCAAATAGATTGTGGGCATATGTTTTGTTTATACAAGACTTCCTTTGGCCTTAGGGCTGATTCAGAGTTTTGTCACAAATGAATCAGTTTATTTTAAGCGTAATGGAAAGCCAAAGCGCACGAAAAGAACTCTCTCGTTGGCCATCGGCGTCAAACGTTATTTTCAACCAGGCGATCATCGAAGGCGACGTGGCGAAGGTGAAATTTTTGTTGAAATACGGTGGGAAACAGATTGCGCTCAATGAAAGGAACAAACTCGGTTTGACTCCTTTACAGCAAAGTTGTGTTGACGGTAATCTTTCGCTAGTGATGTTACTTCTTGATCATGGAGCTGATATTGAAGGCAAGGACTTAAATGGCTGGACGCCGCTTCATTTCGCAATAATCGCTGGTCACTGCAATATTACCAGTTTGCTTATAGATTCATGTGCGAACTTGGCAAGCGTCGATGGTAAGGGTCGCTTACCCGTCGATCGTGCTCAGACTGAAGAAATGTTGGTTTTGATTACACGAGCTATGGAGAACGCTGGGTATGTAGAAACAGCGCGTTTGTATCTGGAAAAATGGGGTTTACGATCTCTCTCATCTGAAGACGAAATGTCATCATCTTTGTGTCAAGAAAGTACTGAATTTTCTGAAGCAAATAGTGTTACGGACATTAGGCAACCTTCGAACGACAAAACGATTTGTAGTAAAAATCAAAATATTCAAGATTTCGTTATGCAAACCAAGTGTGAATTGGTTTGGTCGAAGTCATCATAAATTTTCTTATCAGTGTGGAATACATTTTCTTCCAGGGGCGATTTGATAAAGGAGCGATTTTTCAAAGCAAAGCAAAATAACAATAAAAAATTAAACTTCCAGGTGATCCAGGAGTGTTCTATTAAATAAAAATTCGCTTTAATATATTCCACAACATCAACAAATCGAGGAGAACGAATAATTGAATTGTGACAGATTGCAAATGCCGTTAATTTTTTTCATAAGCCTGTTTACTTAGGATCAGGAAAATGGTGGGATTGGCTTTCGCGTGTAACTGAAATTCTCCGTTAAAGTTCCAATCGAAATGATAGAAGTGTTGTTAAAAATAGCCAGGGAAATCCAGTGGGATGTCACAGCATTTTAGAAAGCTTAAGTTTGAAAATAACGTCATGTAACAAACGCTATAAAATAAGCTGTGACAATTCAACCACGTTTATACGATTTTCATCAGTAAAAATATGAGCCGTAAATATTAAAAATCAAAACAAGCTTCGAGGATGTTAATGAATTTTACATAAATTTCTAAATAAAAAAAAAAGGAAAAAAAGATGAGGAAAAATCCTCATCCTCTTCATATACCACTCAGATACAAGCGAAACAACGCGTTTGTTGGCGAGTTAAAAACAGTTTATTATGACCTCTTTCTAAGCCTTCATATCCCTAGAAATGTTTAAAGCTCTAACAAAATAACAATAGACCTATAGACTTCTATTTACACTTAATCTCTCTATCATTAAGTATTCATAAGCTGACAGTTCCATAGTCTGATTAAATTCACAAATGCAAGACTTCTCCTTAAAATCAAAGCCATAGGGATGATAAGGGTCTATCGAAAGTCATGGAATCAAAAGGAGTGTTTCCCTGCAAGTCTCGTACTTTCCTAAGATGCAATTCTACCCCGCGAGGATCACTCACATCCTGCGACGGCAATTCGCATCCCGCGAAGGTCGACGGTCGCTCTATCGCGAAGACTCCTTGTACCCCGACCCGACCCCAACCTCCTCGTTTTTTCACTCCTCGACTCCCCAACTTGACTCAAAAATGTACAAATACGAATCAACCATTAGCCTATCATTTTACACTGACTGACGAAACGCACCAATTTTTTTTCAAACCTTATATATCATTCTACATAAGTTTCCACTTGTAAGATGAGGTCGATTTTTAAATAGCCTGTTCTAGACGTTCAGTTAGTAGAACGAAGCACGATAGTCGCAGAGGAGTGAAAAAGCGAGGAGGTTCGGGTCAGGTCGGGTCGGGTCGATTCGGATCGATTCGCGCTGTTAACTGTCCTGCTCCGTTTTACCACTACATTGTACGCCTGAAACAAGCCACCTTGTTAAACTCCAAACACAAGTCTGCCGATGTCTGTAGTTGATAATTGTCGGTGTTATTTTCCTACAGAACTGAAGAATTTCTCAAAAGAAGTGAATTAATCCCTGGTAAACTTTTTGACTTTTTACATCATTTATAAACTTTTTAATTGTGACTAATAATAAAACTACTACACATGCAACATGTAACGCATATCGCTCTCTCTCACGGTTACACTCACGTTTGTTTCAATCCGAGTTTCTTTTTCCTAACAATTGATCGCACACATTTTGGGAAATTAATAAATAATGGAATCTCAAGCTCGCATAATTTCCCTTCTACCAGTAGACTAACGGCAAATACAAACAACGAACTCTGCACAGAGTAGCGCCATTTTAAAATTCGCTATCGTGTATGTCCTTATTTTTTTCCTTTATATCTTTATAAGAGCTGCCTTGTTGCGTTACGGTTGTTACGCTATGCTTATAAAATATCCTGTGTTGTGTGACTGCTGACGAATTGGTGCTATCCGTGATTCCGTACGAACTGTGAACACTTCAATAAGATGAATTATTCACCCGGTATCAGCCATTGCTTTGGTAGGAACCTTAGTTGGGCGTTTGCCATGCTCATAGTTGACCAGTTTCTGGCCGACAAGGTACCTGAAAGAAATCAGACATGTACATAACCTTAGTTCATAACATAACTTACTCCTGACGGTGTTAAGTCGCATAATTCAAAAGTTCCACTCTCCCTATGTCTTCAGTTTGAATCCAAAAGTAAGGTCAAAACGAAGAAGAAAATATGCAAGTTCTCTCTCCCCAAAAAATTACCAAGCTGATCACCGCGTAGCTTGCAAGCAGACCCAAATCAGCGTTGCACCACTTTTAGCCAAGCATGCGAGATTCAAACAGGCGGGCGAACATGCCAGAGTTCCTTTCGCATACTCACATCGGTCCCCAGGAACCAAGCTCCCTGGTTCGTAGATAAGTCGAGCATTCGATCGTTTTTTTGTTCGGTCGGTCCGTCATTCATTCGGTTCAATGGTCGGTCACCCGGTCAATTGGCCAGTGGTGAGTTAGTTAGCTAGCCCTTGAGTCTCTGTCATATATTTGACTTCTTAAGCCATGTCAAATTAGTTTTTTAGAGTGCGTTCTTTCAAAGAAAAATGGGCATTCGCGGAATTCTCTAAAAACGTGGCTAAACCTTCAGCTTAACAAAAATTTGTAGATGTTGGTTTCTGAACAAGATAGAAATATGACGAATAGAAGAATCTGATGGTGACAGAGGAGGACCTTATACCTTTTAACTTTTTAAAACATACAACTTACTTATCATTCCTGATTCGTTCGTACAAAAGGCGGAATTGACGTCCTTGAAATATAAAGCCCGCAATCAGGATGAACATGGCCAACAGGAATGGGTAAATACGGCGGAGACAGAACAAGCGAGTGTCAGGTGATCGCACTGAAGAGAACGGCAACAATAATCAATAAAGTACGAGTGGTGAGATGTGGTGAGATGTTAGGAAAGTGTTATGAAGCTGAGGCAAGTTTGTACAAGGTGGACAAAGCCTCTTCCAGGTAGTCGATCGGTAAACGTGACAGTAAATGGCACAATTATAGCATAGGGAAAAAACAAGGGAGGGTTAGGTTGAGTCACATTTCCTACTGCATTTCGCTCCACTGAACGCCAAGAACAGGCAAGGTGGAGATAATTTTCCAGAAAGAACCTTATAAACTAACTCACTTAAATAGGAACAGACAGGCTAGGGATTAAGGCTAGCTTATTCCAAGGCATTTACAAACGGATGGGATATCTAAATCTAGAGCTAAATCTAAAATTTTAAGATAAATCTGTCAAAGGAATCGTCTTAGCTCTTAAGCTGCACACAAGGTAAAAATGCCGAGGTTTAATTACGCCACTGAGTCCAGACGTAAGATATACACCAAATACTTACCAAATATGGGTATAACTCCGGCAGCGGTGACGTAAGGGAATGAAACAGCCAATAGAAGACAACATACGACGGGTAAGGTCACGTGTCGAAATATAAACACCACATTTATGTTCCGAACACCATCTTGATATACCTGGAAAATTGAAGTAAAAGAATCAAATCGACAGTGTTTGAGCATGGTCTGCACACTTATTGATAACGATATTCGTCATCACAGTGGTAAAAATGTTATATACTTACGAGGAGGCGCAGCCGAGTCCCCGCAGCATTTCATATTTACCACAATATCAACGTCAACTAAAACGATTCTCTCGGTACATGACCTCTACGGGACACGCTGACGCGAGCAGCGTTGTCTATACTCTTGTCGACAACAGCAAATTGGCCAATCAGATTGCGACTTTACTACCAATTGTGGTGAAATTACTGATTGATCTCAATAAAACAAATACAGCCTTAGGGTGTAGGGGTAAACCTAACATTGATGTCATGAAAAAAAATTGATTTACCGAAGTTTCTCCCATTCATATGGAGAAATAATTCGCCCATTGACTATTACGAAATGTACTGCTAAGCCTGAGATCGCTAACCAATGCTTTACTATAAGTGTACGTAAACTTTTGGAAGGTACCTCGATAACTGACCTAAATAAATAGATGTCCATCTTTCCCGATCGACTATTGACCAACTACTGTCGTCGCAATAAACTACTCCCGTCATACATCGTACTCTAAGATCGCAACATGACTAGCTTCTACAGGGACTGTAGTTAGAACAACATTTAACTACTAGACAAGCACTTCGACTAGATGTACAAGGCAGGACAGCCTTTGCTGGTTGATGGATCAAATCATTGTGTGTTACCTGTTCTAAAGCTCTCTTAAGCCACCAGTTTGGTCCCATCATGGTAACAGCACATATAATCTTCATGTGAAGCACACCCAATGCCCAGTCCTGTTAGAGAAACAAAGATATGGCGGTCTTTAAATTGCTTAAGAGACTCGGGCTGAGAAAAGTATGACAGGATTGGGGCTCTCTCACCTGCCACGGAAAAAACAAAGGGGTCTGATCGAGAGGGACTCGCAAAGGCGCTACCACGACGAGCTCAAACAGAAGGCCCAACAATAATGGTACCAAGCCAATAAGAGCGAGGGCTACGATAACACACTTGAGACCCTGAAGACAATAACAATAAAGGTCGATTAATTATAGGCAGCTTCATAAAGCTACAGTGATAGAAGAACAGTTTAATTCACTCACAGCCAAGATAAGTCGAGGTTGACGATTAAGATTATCTTTAGCCGACGAAGAAACCTTCGGTCCACCTTGCGGTGATCGTGTAAGGTACTGGTTAACTGATTTTATCAACTGCGTTAATAATGTATATTGGCCACCGTAAAGAGTTTCTAAACCTGACATCTCGAGCGTTAGCTCTTCGTCAAAGCAAACCAGAACTACTGGTTAGCTTTCACGCATCAGAACAAGGTTCGTTGACATTTCTTGCGCTAAAATTGACATGTTCCAGACTTTTTCAATCCGCTTATTATCATTTTCCAGACTCTGTGTTCAACATAAAACTTCATAGCCTACACAAAAAAAGTGGTTGTCCAAGCTTTCTTTGAAACAAATCACAAAAGACGAAAAAAAAAAACATTCTGTTGTTCTTTACGTCCTGAGGATTTCAAACAGCTACCAACCTTGTTACAATCTAAAAATGATCTGGACTCTTTTAAAACTCTTTTTTTCTCTTCACGATTTTACTTTTACTTTCAATGATTCATTCAGGTCCTATGGATAGTTTCCAATCGCTTTGTGGTATCAAGGCTTTAAGAATCTGAGCGAGCCTTAACCAAAATTCCGCTTTCAACAGAATCATAAATCCACAAGGAACTTACCAAGAGAAACCACTCGAAGAATTTCAAAGCAACACCCTTGCAGCCAAGAGGTATCCAGGAGGTGAGTACACTGCCTATTCGGCAAACAAGCCATATAATATACAAACCACATGCTGCTGTATACAGCTCGTGTACAGCGGCATCACCCATCCACAGCAGCATCACGCTTCGGCCAATAAAAACTAAACAAAACGATAACAACTTTAGACTTTTTCAGCTGTCACAATCGGAGTTTTGAGGCGGAATATGCTAGGGTCAAAGCCCTAACTCTTTTTCAGGTTTTACATGCTTCTTTTGTTTCAATTTTATTTAATCA